ATAGTGAATGAATCTTCCATTAATTTTTCAATTAAAAAAATTCCTTTTATATAGTTTGGGAAACTCTTCAAGAACTTCAATTAAAAACTTTTTTAAAAATATGATGAAACTATGTTCACATAACACAAATTATAACTTATTACTTTTAAAGAAATATCAATAATAACTAGAAGTCGCTGATGCTTTAAAAAATTCTGCAATCGCCGATTTAGAATTGACAATTCTAAAAGATGTGAACAATACTGATCAAATAAAATCAAATATATAGTAGTGTATATATTTTTTTACAAGGTGGGTCTTTCTAAGTAGCTAGACTATGCGACAGTATTAGGCTTATTCCAAACTGTTGAGCTCACATTTGCAACTTGTTTTTCAACTAGACATCTGGGTTGCTAGCAATAACGAGTTAAACTTCAAAAATTAGTTAAATCATTAATGGATGAATGATTTTTCAGTGTGTGATAATTATGTTTCATCGCCGTTGTACGCCACGTTTTAGAGCACTATTTGCTTTCGCTTTAGAACTTACAGAACATGGTTGCTACTCTTTCACCTGCCTCGCTCTTAGTTCAATTACATCTACTAAGCTCTCCTACGACGATTAGGTGGTATTTCTTTAAGAAATAATAGTAACAAAGAAGACACAAACGCCATCTTGAGGCAACTACCTACATTATGCAATTTAGATATTATAGATACTGCGTATACTTGTTGTTGGTGGTTTTTATATCAAAATTTGCAACTCAAGATATCTGGTATGTTCAGACCTGAATTATATGGACTATAGCGCAGTGAAAGAACCAATTTGAATTCAAGTTGACTAAAATCCGTTGTTGAAGCCAAACTCTAAGGATATCAAAATGGTACAAGCATTAAAAATAAAAGTTGAAAGTTGAAAGAAATTTGAACTTTAAAGGAAGAAAAAAAAGGCAAAAGAAAATAAAAAATAACTAAAGAATAGCAAAACAACTCTAACAAAAAAGGTATAAAAAAACAGAAAGATAAAAATAATTGAAGAAAAATATATTTAAGAAAAATATTAAATAAAAGAAAAAAATAAAGAAAAACAAAAAAGAAAAAGAACTGAAGAATAAAAACAGAAAGAGAAAAATAACTGCAGAAAAAGAAAAGAAAGTAAAAGAAAAAAAATGAAAAAAAGGAAAAAAAATAAAAAAAAGAGAAGAAAAAAATGAAAAAAAGAAAAAAAAAACTAAAGAAATGAAAAAAACTAAGTAAAACCAAGAAAAGCTAAAGGAAAAAACCAAAGAAAAGAAAAACATGAAGACATAAGTAATTAAAGAAAAAAGGAATAAAAATCAAGAAAATAAAAAAATTTTAAAAAATAAAAACAATTTAAAAAAAACCTAAAGAGAATAAACTAAGGCCGCGTACGATGGTAAATTGAGAGAAATAGTAAATTATGTCGGTATGGCAGCGAATGTTGGTATTTACCAGAATTTCGAGTAGAGTAAATTAGATAAAAATTAGGTAAATTAGGTGTTACTATTGTGAAGATTTTATATGTTTAATAAATAAATAAAAAAAACTAAAATAAAGAAAAGAAATTGAAACAATAGTTAAGAACAAGAAAGTGAAGAAAAAATATAATATAAAGAAAAATTAAAAAAAAGAAATGTAAATTAATAAAAACCAAGAAAAATCAAGTAAAAAAGAAAAAAGAAAAACAAATAAAAGCCAAACAAAAAGGAAAAACTAAAGAAAAATAATCTAAAAACCAGGAAATAGTCTAAGGAAAACAAATTTGAAGAAAAGAAGAAATCGTAGATACTAGCTAAGAGAAAGTAGATCAAGAAGATCTATCAAAAAAAAATAAAACAATTGAATACTAACGAGAAGTCTAATAAAAAGTGCTGTTCCAAATTACCCTCAACAAACGCTAATATGAGGTAGCGCTTTGAGATAATTATCTCACTTTTAGTACTAAAAATAAAAGTCAAAATTTATGTTCTTTATATAAAATATTTTATATTGTTTTAATCAAAAATAATATTCAAATAATGATTTCATTTTCATCTAAAAAAAATTATTAAGCTAATGTTCATTAAATGTCTATTTACGTCCAGTACTCATAAGCAAACTATATACTCGGACTTCATATATATCTCTCAATGTACGTTTGTTTCTTTTTTTTTATAATTCAACAATTCAAGAAAAAAAGTAACAAAACAAAAAAGTTACACTTTTAACTGAAAATATTCTCGAACGATTCGTAGGTCCTTAAAATTAAAAACAATCAAAAAAATTTTTTTAGTTACTAAAAACGTTTTTCTCTCAATAAAGAAAAATAATGGCAAATGGTATTAAGTCAAGTAGCACATAGCCTTGGTTCAGTGGGATGTGGTCTTCATTACAGCTAAACAGTCTAGATTTCCGAAAGAACAACATGTCCTTGCGTTTGTATGTATGAATGATCATTATAGATCGATGCTTCGTAGTTTTTAAAATGACTCAGTGGCTGAAAATTAGTTTTACTATTTACAGAAATAAATGAAAAAAAAAAAATTAAAATAAAAATGCTAAACGTCTTGAGATTCTACAGACACTCATCAGTTTCTTCTGTCGACATGGTGACTGTGGAAGGAACTTCTACTTCTAACAACTTTGTATGCGTTTCGGCGTCTTCCTCGTCCAGATCATCTTTACCGCAGCGTTGCTCCTGCATTTCAATATCCAATGTGCCATGTTGACGTTGGAATGATATGAGGAAAATAGTCACCGAGATGACAATGAACAGGAATGCTGTGCTGGAACAGATAACGATGATAATGGCGGAGCGATGTGAACTGTCGTCATGGACGTTGCGCGTTAGTAGCGCCTTATCAATATCAGCAGAATTTTCTGCTGCCAAATTATTATTATACAAATGGTCAGCATCGAAAAGAGCACTGGCACTATCTTCGACGCCATTATTAGCTGTGTAAATTGAACGTGATCCTTTTGTGGATGGTGGTAAAATCTCAGTATTAACTTCAACTGTATGTAATTCGGTGTTTTGGTCAGCAACTGAAGCAATTGTTGTAGAACCAACAGAAACAGTTCCGTCCTCATTTTCTATTGCGACTGGATCTTCTATGTTAATATCTTCTGTTTTCACTTTCGCCTCCATTTCATTGGAGATTTCAATGTTTTCATTGTCCTTTTCTTGTTCTTCAATTTGTGGTCGAGCTGTATTCGATGAGTCAAGTGTAGGTTCATCTACGACAAATGGTGGAATCTCAACACCTACTGGTGTTACATTTTCTTCAATGCTTTCAACAGCTTCCGACTTTCCTCCTTCTTGATTCTCATTAGATGCTTCTTCTCGCATATTAGTTTCTTCCACCACTTGTTTGTGAGTTTCTTCGTCTTCACTTTGTATTGCATTAGTGTCTGGCAGAACAGTTGTCACTTCGTCAGGTTGTATGTCATTGGTAACTGCTTCAACTCCTGGTTTCTTTATTATATTGTGTTTACTTTGTTCGACTGTTGAATTAATATTGTCATCCGATTCAGGTTTTTCTAAATCCGAAAGATGTATTTCGGAGGTGTCACCAGATTCATCATTTGTCGTTAAAGTTTCTTTCAACACAACAGTCATAATTTCATCTGAATTATTTTCTTTATCATTGGCTGGTGTGGTTTGAGTTATTACTTCGTACTTTTCATTCAAATTATTAATATTCTCTGAAACTTTATGTGAGGTCTTCTCTTCTTCTGACAAATCGTGTATGCTTTCTTCAATATCATTTTCTATATTTTCACTCACATTAACAGGATCTATGTCTTTATCTTCATCCAAATTTTTTCCAATATCTGCATTGCTCTCAATTTCAATAGCTTTAATAGATTCAGCATGTTGTGTTTCATCAGTTGACGTTTCATGTGCTTTAATGACATTATTTTCCTTCTCTTGTACTTCTTCCTTTGAATCCATGACATTTTCATGGTTATCTTTTTCAACGGAATCAACTATATTGGTTTCTTTTTGTTTTTCTTCTACTTCGTCTGATTCGATTACATTGCTACGTTTCTCTTCCTCTGTAGAATTCACGATAATACTATCGTTCTCCTTTATTGTTGATTCCAAGACATTCTCTTTTTTATCCACCTCAACTGATTGTACAACATCATCATCTTCAATTTCAATCGTTTTTATTGTGTTATCATTGTCACTATCTGAAGCTATGATATTATTTACATTGTGAGCTGATTCAAGTTCGTCACTGAGTTCGTTTAAATGAACTGCTTCCAAACTGTTGAGGATTTCATTTTTGTGATTTTGTATTGCATTTGTGACAATCGGTTTATTCTGTACTTCATTATTTCCGGCCTCTGCCATATCAATATTGGGTTTCTGCTCATTGACTTCTTCCTTTGTTACTTCTTTTTCTTCTTTAACAGCGTCCACATCAGACGTCTCAATTAAAACATCATTTCGTCTAGTATAAGCTTCGGGTAACACGTCCGCGTTAATGTCACTAATATCTTCTTTATCAGCGGTGATTAAATTTCTTGATTCTCTTGCAATATCTTCTGGCTCATCAGCTAACTCAGTCGCCAAAGTTTCTCTTTCGGCAGTTGTAACAACTGAAATTTAAAATAAAAATTAATTACTTTTCAATCTTATTCATATTATTAATATGAGTTTGACTTACTTTCTTTTTGCTCGTTTACAGTTTCCTGTTGACTTCCTTCGTGTTTTTCATTGGGATTTTGATTTTTCGGTATATAATCCGTAGAGAGTATGTCCTGTGTCAGAGTTTCACGCAAATCAGCTTCTGGTATACTATTTATGACATTCAGCAAAGCTGATGTGCTAGTATTTTTCTCCATTTCAATTTCTGTTTTAACAGAATTCCTAATCGATTCTTCTAAATCTTCCATATCCGCGTCTTGGGGTAAATTTTTTACTTCGGGTACTTCGTTTATCTCATTTAATATGGTTTCCGTATGTGATTCTACAATAAACAGTAAAGAAGTTATTTTTTGCTTTTTTTTTAAATATTTTTTGTTTTTTAAAAAAAGAATAAAATTTTACAAAAAAATTCTTTATAAACATTTACTTTTATTATTGAAAAAAAAAACTCTGTGTTTTCATAGAAAGTCAATAGTAAATTTCTATATTTTTCATAGTCACTAAAACTGTTTTAAAATCATGTGCTAACAGTTTGAAAGTCATAATTTCATATAGCTTGAAAGTCGTAACTCCGAACAGTTTGCAACTAATACGGCACTAAACATAATGTAAAAATATTCCTAATGGGCATGTTTGAAACGATTCATAAATGTATGGTTTGTGTATTTGATAGTAGCGGCTATAGACCGTGCATAAAGAACGTATAAAAAATTTCCTCTTTAAACGATCTTCCCGTTTTCATTATATTTTCTTTATGGTTCTTGTCTAGACTTTAGTACTTACCTGTATTATCGACAATAACATTATCGTTATTTTCAAATTGAGTTTGTGTTTGCATTATTTCGGTTCCTTGCGTTTGCACTAAAATGAGTAGAAAAAAAGTTTTTTTTTGTTTTATTAATACAATAAATAAATATATAATATATATAATAAATAATAATATAAATAAAAAAATAAATAAAAAAATAAATAATATAAATAAAAAAATAAATAATATAAATAAATAAATATAAATAATAAATAATAATAATAAATAAATAGTAAATAAACAATAACAAATATAAATAAATCAATAATAATATATTAAAAAATAAATAATTATGACGTTATAAAAACCTAATCTATTTGCTGATAATACGAAATAAAAGTTGAACATAGACGTCAGGGAAGAAAATTGATGTATTATTAAAGATATTGAAAGCAGAACCATATTTCAAAGTAATAAAAATCTTTTTTTTCTGTAAAACTGTTCAGTACTCAATATACATACTGACAGACCGAATTGAACTGCAACTTCTCTTTTTTTTTAATTTAAATTAATTTTTTGTAAACAAATAGAAAAATATGTTTAAAAACAATTAAATTTTGCATATCCTTTCGAAATGATCGCCTTTAACAACACAAAACTGTGGATCGGGGTTGGTAGCTAAAGAGTCGTATATAGCACGTATACGAAACTGTCAGATCCTTACCTATACACAAAGAAGAGGAAGTGCAGTATGGTTTATAGAACCTTTAGAACCCTTTTCATATTAAAAATTTGCATTAATATTGAAGCTACAGAGCAAAAACGCAAAGAGAGAGCAAATATGGATTAAATTTCCGAGTTACTTTCTCCACAAATGTGTTTTATTTTTCTGCTAACCACTATAACTCATTCCAACACTGTCATTTCGTTTATAAAACTCCATGTTTCATACTAATTTTTAAGTTTTTAAAATAATTAAATATAATTAGTAAGCATAAAAAAATTCATGCATTCAGTTTATAATTCTCATATTATTTAATTTACACTAGCCTTGAATAATCTCAATGCATTGTGCATATGGTTGAGAAATCACGTTGATATATTATATATATAATTAAGTTACTTCGACTAACACCTTTTGGAGCTCGCAATATGCAACTGTTTTGAGAGCAATTTACAAAGTTCTAAAACGAAATAGCCCAGCTGGGGAAAAATTAAAATAACAAAGCCATACAAACGAAAATCTTACTGGAAGAATGGAGATCCAAGTAGAAAAACTCGTAACGGTGTTAACAGAACGGTACTATAGGCATCCAAACCAAAAAAATCAAGTTTCTATTTTTATGTAGAAACTGTGAGCTAAAAGCGAGAAAAGTAATAATAGAACACTTCGTATGCAAATGCTCAAGCCTGGCAAAATAACGATATTCCATTGTGGATATTGTATATATAGTTCATCCAAAAATAATCACCCTTTAGAACTTAGAATCTTATAACCGAATATGTGAAACAAAACAGTACCTAGAAACTGATTGAGTAGAAGAGGAACCTCTGGTGCTATTAAAATCAATCAACCAACCATGTAAATGTTTAATCATTTTTTTTATTTACCTCAAACTATTTCATAGTAAGTATGTCTTCTATATAAAACAAATATAATATATCTTTTAGTTTCGTTCTAAGAAATTTGTTGCCCGTGTTAAACTGAACGGACTGAACCTCCATTCAATAAAAAAATAAGGATAAAGTTCCTTTTACATAAATAAAGAACCATTTTTCTTTTTTTTTTAAGTTTTAATCTAAGGACGTGTGCGAGTTAGGTTAAGTTGCGTTCTAAATGGGGTAAATTCAAAGTTGTGCCGATAATGTAGTGATGTTTCGATACGTGTTGATAAATGGCTAAATGTGTGCAGTGCAAAAAATCCCAAAAAAATCTCCCATTTGGTTTAGCATCAACTTAGCCTAACTCGCACACGTCCTAAATGAAACGTATATTGCCAATAAAAATCGACGTTGTCGAAATGCTTATTCCATAGGATAATGTCTAGACAATATTTCCATTAACATCAATATCAATATTTCAATATTTTTTATCAATATTTCCCGCTGGTTCTAACATAACCGTTGTTTTACCCACTTTTACCAGGAAATCTGAAATCAAAACGCTTTTCTTAGCTAATTGAGGAGGTTTAGTCCTTTCTTCCACCTCACTTAACCTCGTTTAGGACAGTGTCTATTTACCTGCTAAGGATTATACAGCTATGATTTCTTTATGTATTTAGTGGTCATAATTTTTTGAAAGAAAACTCAGCATTATTTCTACTTTAGTTTCATAGACCCATTAATAATAGACCCAATATGGCACCATATTATTATAATAATATCAGTGCAGAAAAATCAATAAGAGAAAAGCATATAAATAAATGCCATCGTAAAAATACATAAAAATAATCTAAGTAAATAAATAATCAAACTCATTTTTAAATAATCGTGTTATTATCTAAGCAAATTTATCGTAAAATCGTTGGATAATAAAACTTCATTGTGAAGGAAACTTGAGCTCAATATGTTTTTTATTTCACAAGAAATGAATGTCTGTGGATGAGTCAATCGATAAACCCATTTCGCATTCTATATGAAATGAAAGATATTGTAAATAAATGAAATTTATTCTTCTGTAGGATAGAATTATTTATATTTTAAAATAAATTAGTTTACTGAATACTCGTATTACATTTCTTGGAAGACATTCTAAAAGTACATATGTTGGATTATGGCATATGTTAAACCAAATTCAAAAAGTACGCAGAAGTGTTTCCGATTAAATAATACATATAAATGATATAAATAACATATGTTCAGAAATTAATAAGAATCCGGAAGAAAAAATTCTTTTCGACATCGGTTAGATTAGGTTAGACCATCATTAAGCCTGAATCACAATTATTTCCTTGAAACGTACATATTTGTATATCTATCTTGTCTTTTAATAATTGTAGAAAAATTACGAATTGCTACGACCCGAAACTAATCCTTTTTTACTAGAATGAAAACTTGCTCACTTTTCTATAAAAATTTACTGGCTCAATAGGTACACGTAGTTAGCACGAATTTAGTAAAAACTCTTCCTAATTTATTCTTTTTTTGCAAATAGTTGTCTATTTATAAAACTTAAAAAAAAAGCAGAGGCTCCATCGATGTTAATTGCATCTAGAAGTATAATGAGTCACCTTGACAAACTATAATTATTAGAGATCCGTATTACAGCTGTGCTTTGCTAGAGATCTAGGGACAGCAACATCATTTTGAAATTAGAAATTGAGATTCTGATTGATGCTTGCATAAGAAGTACGTCAGGTAACTAAGATAACTAAGAATTCGTCGCTTTGTCTGAAAAAAATAGTTTTATTTCTTTCATTCATACTTGGATCACTTGGTTTTCTAAAGGAACACTTTATCCAGTATTTTCGTTTCAACTAAATGGTACTATCTAAAGTGGCAGAATCACGTTCACACATGACTTGTTCGACTTTGCTCTGCGCTAAGAGCAAGTTTGTGACGTCTTCGATAATCAGGTCTTTATTAGTAATATCCATTCTGGACTTAAGCAGACAGCACACTTTCTGTTAAGTTGGAGTCATGTTATAATCGATTGTATCTGCTATTGCCTTGTGGATTTAAGTCAAGGGCATTCCAAAGAATTTCTTTGAGTGGCTTCATTAAAATAGGTCCAATTAGTTTGCATTTGCGACTGATGATTATGCAATATTTATATGCGGTCTAAACCACCGCAATGTGCACGTTGATAATTATAAAGTCGATGGACCTATTGGGTTTCAATTTTTTGTTCTTTGTTTACTTGAAGACCATATTTAGTTGGTTCTTCACCTAATTTTTTTAGTTTGCTACGCACATTGTTATAAGAACATATAGTAAACATATATCACCAGATATATCTTGGAGTTGTCCCAAAGAATTTTCCAATTCTTCCGTATTTTTTTTCTTCAATGCCCTGTTTTCTATGTATAATATTGTGGAGAATATCATCGATTGCGATTAAAAATAGAATTAATAAATTTATAAATGGAATATGTATTGAGATTTTCTATCACGTTTTTTAATAATTCTATCATGCTAATAATTATACATTAGCACTTGTTAGCACAACAATTCTTCCTGTTTAGCATTTCGTTGCCAAAATAGCAATAGACTTGATATGGATAGTGACCATATACATTAGCAATATGAAAAGATTAACGTTGAAACAAATAAAAATACAGTTTGCTGATGTTTATAATGATGTATATCATTTCCAACTGTGCTTAATTGAGTGAGTAAACGAAAACATAATATTTTCACTGGTAGTAAACAGTGTGTGGAAAGTCTATTTAAATGAACTCCTCGATTACCTCGATTATTTCATCAATAAATTCTATGAGAGTACTTTGACTGATCGGCGAATAAAAGTGTACTAGATTGTGAAAATATAGATATATATCAGGACATAGAGTGACTTCAGTTCTATACAACACTTGGGTACGAAGAGACTATAGGCAAGGTGGATACCACATTTACTTCTTATGAACGATTTTTAAAGAATGTTTTATATGTTTTAAGCAATGCCAAATATGGTTTCATTATTCTAACACACATCGGAGACGAAGAAACAGTTAAAATAATGGAGATAACTGATTGAATTAATTTCGAAGAAGGTAGAGACAATGAAGTCGATCGAATCGGTTATTAGCTAATACAAAAAACGAGTACATGGATGCATATGGAACTCTACTACAAATAAGTTTTCCATTCAAAATATAGGTGTTACTCATTCTGCTATAACTATTTTTTAGTTCCAGACCTTAGGATGAAGTTTGTAGATCATATTCATATTCATATTCATTTTGAAAACATTTCTAATTTATAATCATTTAATCCATAACAGTTTCTTTGAAATAAATTGAAAAAATCATATTACTTAGAGTACTTGATAAAGTTGAAGAATCATTGGTTATAATGTATTTGGCTGAAAGGTGATTATGTTAAGGAGAAAAAATAAATCCAGCAAACGAAACTTGCTTTCATCTAATATTTTCTTGACTTAGTGTCTTAACTAAGATTGATATCGTGAACTACATGACTACAATAACAGTTAAGTTATTCAGTATTTGTACATATGCATATATTAAAAATTTTTTAAAGTGATTACTTCCTATATAGCAGATATTAACCTGAAATTTTAAGACAAAATAATACTCATTGCATTATTAGGTGAGGTGGGATTGAAGTGGTAGTCTTGTGCCCCAAAGTTCGCTTAGACACAAATAAATACCGGCCCGCTTACTTGGTGATAATTTAAGCCACAAAAGACCATTTAAAAGACAAAATATATGAATCAAAAAGCGTTCAAATAGTGGTTATTTCATAAAATTGGATAAAGATACATATAACTGTAGAGTAATGGATGTAAGCTTAAAGTTATGTGTATTTACGTTAATTGCAAACGCTGTAAATTCATCTTTTTATCTTTTAGAGCTATTGAAAAATTTAAATAATTGCAGAGAAAGATTAAAACATAAATGTTTAGTTAAAGAAAGTTGTTCTTTCAGAATATAAACTTTCAGGTTCCTCAGACTTTAGTCGGTTATTAATACTTTTCTTCTCCTCATCTTTTGATTTTACTGATATTATTTTAGTTATTTTCTCCATACATGCAATATTTAAAATAATTTCGTCTTATTAGCATAAAAGCCGCATAAACTGGTATAAGGAAAATTCCAGAAACATGTATTTTATATGTAAATATATGTAGAAATGAAAAGAATTTGTACTAAAAATATAGCATAGAAATATAATCCTAACAATTTTGAGGTAATAAAAACATTTAAGCATAATTTATGACACCCATTCGATTTGGTTTAACTTCCTTAACGGAGCAACTAAGAAGCCAAAGACTTCACAGTTCATCTTGTATGGAAAATATGGAGAGAATTTTTTTTAAGTGTCTGAAAATTAATTGAAAACGTCAAAGCAACGAGATTCTTGAACTGACATAGGGAAAACATATGTTTTTTTGGTTTGGTTTAGTTTTCCCGCGACACTTTACACAACATCAATTTAGGGACAAAGACTATATGCAGCCGGGATGCGTAGATCGATCATAGGCACGCACGCTGAGAAGTAAGCAGGCAGCCAGGCAGGCAGGCAAGCAGACATCTTAAGTCAATAAAATGCAGAAGACAGAAGGCAGAAGAAGAAGTCAGTCGTGAGTGTTGCGGGATGTTGGCATTGAGAGATGAATGGATGGACTACGAAAATAGCAGCATTTTTATCTTATTGTCTTATTGTATTGTTGTTGCGTTTTATTTGGCTAGTCTTGTTTGTTTTCAACTGAAAAGGGAAGAAAGGCAATATACTTAAGACATAATTTCGTTTTGCCTAAAATTTAAAAATTACATATTTTTCTTTTCAAGAGAAATACTTAACTAAATTCTCTATTGATTTATGTTGTTTCTTTATGTTCCTGTTTTTTTTATATTGATGTATTTTATTTTATTTTTTTTTTTTGTTCAACTATAATAAATAATAATTGATATGAATAGAAAGCCTGTGCGTTTGAGCTGCTGCTTCTACCACTTCTACCGCCACTTCTTCCCTTCCACCTCTGCTTCGTATGGATATCTATTTGAGCAAAGTTTATGCATGGATATCCTAGAGCGTTTGATATCTACCGACCTATTTGTGGTTTGGTTATTAACATGTTTGGCATACAAAGAAAGACACGTTTTCCGGATTGGAAAAGAAATTTATACAATACTCGTATGGGGAGCTCGTAAAACAAAAACAACTGAAACATGGCTTTTGATAATGACATAAGGAAAATGAGACGCTGCACCGCAAAACCTGAGCAAATATTTAAGCTAAGAAATATTGAGAAAAAAAAAATAATTACTTACAAGGCAAAATAAAAATGATCGCCACTGCGGCAAAGATCGTCATCATCATCGTCGTCATTTTCGATGTTTTTGTTGTCGTTATCAATTGTTGGCTTTGATAAAACCTGTTGCCAAGCTGAAGTTTTCGATTGCAGCTGGTCTGCTCATCGCCCAGCACATCCTCCATGTTCAGTAGATTCGCACCCGTAAATTAGCGGCAATTTTACTGTTTTTCTTTTTTTTTTGTTTGTTGTTGTTTTTTTTTATTGTCGTTTAGTTTATTTTTTATTAATTATTTATTTTGTTGATGTTCTTTTTTTATTTTCCACTGCGTAGTGAGTCAATAATTTCGGTTTTTAACACCAAAGCACGTCAAATTAAAAATTCTAAACGCAACCCGCAACTGCACGAGGAATATTAATCAAGTCAGAGCTTCCTTCACTACGTATACTTTAAATAAATTAATATATTTTATAATTTAATATTTTTTATATTTAAATTAAAATATTCTTATATCAAAAAACGAAAAATCTTCTTTAACAAGAAATCACAAATGGTTAGAAAACAAAAAGAAACTCGTGTTCTTCAACGTCTAACCTCTTCGACTTCAACTTTCTGAACACATTTACTTTCTTTAGCATTCGCACAATTTGTTGTTACTTTTTCTTTTCTTTCAAATAAATGTGCATTGCATTTAGCCTATCTATCACTTGCACCGTTAACAACCACACTCTTTCGTTACTCGCAAAGAACTAAACCTACTCAGCACGATCAAGATCGAGAACCTCCTCACACGCATTGCAGCACGTTTGCTTACTGCCTGCCTGCCTTCTTGCCTGCTTGCCTGTTTGCCTGTTTGCCTGGCTGTTCCCTATCAAGTGCGTTCATTCGTTTTATTTTGTTTTTGTTTTTGTTATTGTTTTCGTTATTGGTCTTGCATTCGTTGCTATTATTGTGTTGTTGTTCATTCATTTTTTGCTCCTTGTCTTTTTCAAACATACATACATATGTATATGAAGATTACTTTGAAATGCTATTCATCATCATCGTTTTTTGCCTGTTCGGCTTGTTAGCCAACAAGCCGGCTGTTGAATGTCTTCTACATGCATACGTACATACGTACATATTTGCTTTGGATAAGAATAGGGAGAGCCACTCAAATAGGGGCTACTGCATATTTGGCTATGTTCATTATATTGTTGTTGCCACTGAAGTGTTGGTTGTGTTGTTGTTTTGATATTATTTTCGTTATGGGACATAAGAGTTTTACTAAATTTACACTCAACAAAAATAGAAAGTATGAAGTAAAATGCTTTTTACTCTAAAGATATTGAAAAACCCAATAGAATTCCATTAAAATTGGAGTCAATACGGATTACTGTAATAATCAGATTGTGGAAGTGATATTAAAAATCTAAAAAAAGTCCTACATATGTTTAATAATTCAATTAAATTATTCAATTGAATTATTCAAATAATAATTCAGTTCTTACGATCCATCGAAACAAATGGTAGAGAAGTGGTTAATTGACTTTAAAGGCGACTGCTGATGACACACCGGGAAACACCAAAAGTTGCAAGGGATAAAACCTTAAAGATTTCAATAATTTTGCATGAACATTTCTCTATGAGAAAGGTCTTTGTGAAGTGGGTGTCTCATTTGCTAAA